ACCTATCGGCAATCGCGCGCCAACTGCTGGACCCAAAAAGTGACTCGCTTGGCATAACATCAAGTATGTCAAAACGTTTCCGATGAGATATTGCCCCACCCCCAATTTTGTACAGTGCATATCGTCGGCCCTTGTCCTCGACGGGTGAACAACGCACACTCCTACCCATAGCGGGGTCAAAGGGGGGAGGATTGGCTATGGCTATGGGCGCGGGTTGTCGGACCCTGGGGTAGGCTCCCGCTCGAGCGGGGGCCCCATCCGACAGCGCGCGCCCGTAGCCCCCGCCGCCCTCCTCCTCGTTATCCTCCTCCTCATCCTCGTCTTTGTCCTCCTCCTGTTCCTCTTTTTCCTCCTCCTCCTCCTCCGTGTCCTCCTCCTTTTCCTCCTTCGTCCTCCTCCTCCTCCTCTTCCTCTTTCTCCACCTCGTCCTTCTCTTCCGTCTCCTCCTCCTCTTCGCTACTCTTTTTTATCCTCCTCATCTTCCATGGGCATGGCCGCGCGTGTTGTTCGTCCGTCAGTCCTGTCCAACATCCACCCTGGCATTTTGCACAACACAGTTGTGCAAGGATTGATCTCTGCAAATTGTTTGTTGGTCAGCTCCGTGGTCCTCCATCTAGCTTCAGGGCTCCAATCAGGGAACGCAGAAATGCTGCATGTTTTGCTGGCCCAGTCCCTGTGGCAGCAAAAGTTGTGCCTGTAATTCCTGGGGCGGTCTGTTTATACTCGGGCCAGAGCTGAAACAGGGCGAAGAGAGAAGTCGAGAAGCGTTGCGAGGAGACCGCGAGGAGGAAGTGCAATGGGGAATGATGAGAGGAGGGCGGAAGGGGCGGGAGGAGGAGGGAGAGCAGGTGGAGGAGGAAGAGGAGAAGGAGGAGAAGGTGCAGCCGTTCTACACACTGAGGGCTCCACCTCCATTCACTCGGGCGACCAATGCTCAGGGCAAGAATGGAGCAGAAAAAAAAACAGTCCTCCAGCCAAATGTGTCCGCGCTCCACTCCCAACCCCCGCGGTATTCTGAGAACAGCAACCTGAAACCACCTGGAGTTCAGCATCATTATTCTGGTACCCCTGCCCAACCGCCCCCCTCCTGTGGCGGCGTCCCCCGTTCATTTGGAGCCCCTGGTGCTGACCTGCCAAGGGTTTCGAAGACTTGCCGTTGCAGTAGCGGCGCGACCCGCGAGGCCACTCGTTGCCTTCGCGGTCGCACGGGGGCCAGATCCCCAGCATAAGCCAGTGGGCGCTCCACACCAATACTGCATATAATTGCTCGTCGGTCCGACCAGCGATCAACAACTCGCCAGGGCACACAGTAAACAGTATTTTGCTCCAGATTGTGGGGGCCATGCACAAAGTAGATCCCCAGGATATGGCAAGGATCTTGTCTTTTTTGATGTGCTGGCCTTTGTCAGCGCGAACGCCGAATGGGATTGAATTCCAAAACTCCGCCCCGTGTTGAAACCCCGGGTGCCCCCGAACCCATTCGTGATCTTTCTGCTTGTCCCAGAATTCAAGTGCACCCGCGTCACCATTAGGCCCCATAAACATATACTGGAATACGTCTCTACCTGCTTCCCAGGCCGAAGCGAGCACTTCGCGCGGGTACAGCACATGATGTTGGGTCTGGACGACCCCGTGGTCTCTCAGATTTCGAACGTCCGCCCGAACCGGCACTGGCTCTAAGTACATGCCAAAAGAACGAGCCCAAGTAATCAAGTCCCTGTGCACATTGCCCTGATGCTTCCCGTTGGTGCCAAGAGATGCCCATGCATCCACTAGTGGAGACCCTCCAACACCGTAATCAGACACAATGTCGCAAGCTAGTCTCTGAGCTTCTGTGGTGGCCATTTTCCCCTGGCACACTCTGTCAAAAAGACGATCGCTCACCCTCGACTCCTGGGCCTCGTTCAGCCTGGGGCGCGAGAAACAAGTGCCTCCCTGCTTTTCCTTCCCCCTTCCGAGTGCCTCCTCCCCTCTCCCTCGATCCTCCTCGTCTCCTCCTCCTCCCCCTCCTCCTCCTCCTCCTCCTCCTCATCATCATCATCACCATCATCATCATCATCATCATCCGAGCTCCTTGCTCCTTCCTCCGTTTCGTCGTCGTCCTCATTCTCCTCCTCCTCCTTCTCCTCCTCCTCCTCCTCCTCCTCCTCCCCCTCCTCCCCCCTCCCTCTTTACCTTCTCTGGAATATTCTTCGGATTATTACCTCCCGGGGCCTAACGCGCTTCATGCACGGCACGGCGCCATCGGCGGCCCTCGCCCCGTCGGCGCGGGTTCTGAGCTCTCGGGCCGCTCGCGCCTGGGCGAGCATGGTGGCCGAAACAAGCTGGCCGAGCAAGAGTGGCAGCAGCGGCAAGCGCGTGTGCGTCCGTGGCATCTTGGGGGCTCGTTGGGTCCTTGTTGGGACATATTTTGTGGGTTGGGGCCTCGTTGGGGACTGTGGCCTCTTGGGGACTCTTTGGGTCCTTGTTGGGACATCTTTTGGGGGCATCATAGGAGCCTCTTGGGGCCTCTTGGGGGCTGTTTGGGGCCACGTTGGGGACTGTGGCCTCTTGGGGACTCTTTGGGTCCTTGTTGGGGCATCTTTTGGGGGCCTCTTAGGGGCCTCTTGGGGCCTCTTGGGGGCTGGTTGGGGCCTCGTTGGGGACTGTGGCCTCTTGGAGACTCTTCGGGTCCTTGTTGGGACATCTTTTGGGGGCCTCTTAGGGGCCTCTTGGGGGCTGTTTGGGGCCTCGTTAGGGACTGTGGCCTCTTGGGGACCTTGTTGGGAGATCCCTCCTGGTGCCGCGTGCCCGCACGCGTGTCAGGCACCTCGCCTCAGGGGGAAGGGGCGCCGCGCACTTCTTCCTCCTTCCTGGTGCTGGTTACGCAGCCAGCCTTAAATTGTACCCGAGCCTCGGGGTAC